GGCTCCCAGTCGCACTCCAGGCAAACATGCATGTCTCCCACACCCATACCCCAGGTTAGATGGAGGCTGCCCAGGATTGGGGGACTGGGCCATCGCCCACTCAGGGCACCCAGCTGGGACAAGCAATGCTTGAGGATTGTTTCATTCCCCACCCAGTGGGTCAACGGGTGTGAAGGGGGTCAGTTGGTGGTCAAGCCCCAGACCCTGGAAGGTGGTGTTGGATGTTTGAGAGGAGAGGGTTTCATGCAGGTTCTGGTTGGAGGATGGAGTTTCCAGCTTCTCCCCTTAATCTAAAAGCAAGGAGCCCTCCTCGGAGCTCTGAGATGCATGGGAGGGGAGCGAACAGGCACAGGCAGAGGGTTGCAGTCTGGGAGCTTACTCAGGGCAGGGGTTTAGGCTGTAAAGCCTGTAAGGGGTGAGGGGGTCATGACTAATCTCTGGAGTAGGGATGGGACAGGTAACAGCTGGGAAGAGAGGCTCCGATGACAGTGGGTACCAGGTGCTAACAGCTGGTGTTGAGCAGCGGGTGCTAGGGAATAGCCAGCCCAGGCACTCACCGCAACCACTTGATTCTTCCGGGGGTCAATGATTCGAAGGGTCTTGTCCTTGCAGGTGGTGGCTAGCAGGCTGCCATTGCTGTTCCAGCACACACTGTGGATGACGTCAGGGTGTATGTCGTCCAGACTCAGCAGTGCCTCCCCAGTGCCCACATTCCAGATGATGATCACATTATCACCACCTGTCCAGAGTGTCCAGGCATGGTTACCCGGGCCCCGTCCTTCCTCACTCCCACCCTCGTCTATAGTAGGGATCCTTTGAAACACCCCCCAGACCTGCACTGAGCAGGACATTCCTGGCAGTGGGGTGCCAAGAGAGGATGCCCACACGCTTGGAGTGGCCCTCAAGTGTGATGACAGGTTCTGTGATATTGCGCACAGGGGTGTAGTCTGGAATTTGCCACACCTAGGTAGAAGAAAAGACAACAAGTAGGTGGGATACAGGGATGGCTCCGCCCCCTCAGCGCTGTGGCCCTCTTGAGTGGAAAGCATCAATTAAATACAGGTGTGGTGGTGCCAGGACAGAGAAGCAGCAGTTGGGGACCAGGGAGCACCGCCAGGGCTCCTGAGACCTCCCTATTCACTTTGTCAGGGAAATTTCAGAGTGTTGTACATCTGCTCTTTGGGCCCCAAATTGTCCATGGTTATAATTAGTTCTAGGCAGTGCATTCTGGGAGGGAGTGGGTATGTATTTAACTAAAAATAATCTGGGAACCGGCAGGGCAGGGCTCCTGGTGCCTGCCCATCTATCACCTCCCCCAGTACAGGTGAGGCATCCCCTGCTCCCCTCTCCAGCCTGGCAGCATCCCCCTGACTCCTACCATGACAGTGGTGTCGTCTGAGGCACTGGCGATGACGTTGTCATTGTGTGGGCACCAGTCAATGTCCAGCACGGGGCCAGTGTGCCCAGTGACTAGTGGGTAGTTCTTATCCACTCGTCCTGTCTGGAGGGGTCAGAGAGGGAGAGGTGAAGCCACATTTATGTGTGTGTGTGTGTGTGTGTGTGTGTGTGTGCGCGCGTGCGCGCGCGCAAACGCATGCACACCTATGCATGCGCATACACGCATGTGCACACCCTGGGACCTGGATGGCACTTGCTAAACAAATGCACAACCACAGCTGCATCCCCAGGCCCTCCTGTATGTGGTTTTGGAGTGGGCACTGGATTTGTTTACCTGTCGATTCTGTATCATTATTTTGTGTTGCAGACCCCTCTTAGCCTCTAACCCTATCCAGTTCACTCTTTGAACTTCGCTGAACATGCACAGAGTGAAATCATTTGTATAAGGGAATCTGATCAGTGAGGCATAGTGACTTAATAAAGGACCCACAGCAAGACACTAGAACCCAGAGACACTTAGAGCATTTTTGTTTTTAAATATAAGGTCTCATTATGTTTATTAGCCCATGTTGGTCTTGCCTTGGTCTTCTCAGTGCTGGGCTCACAGGCCTGTACCCACACACCCTGTGAGGAGGCTGTACTTAAGCCAAGCTGGGATATCTGTGGAAAGTTCCTAGAAGAGGTTGAAGTGGGTGACCCCAGGGCAGTGTCCGAGCTCCTGGAGCGATCTTTCCCTTGGCTTCACTTGGAACCTCAAGCAGGCAATCCTGGTGCCTAACATCCCTTAGCCAGGGTTGGGGACCCACTTTTCCTTTTGTCTTCATGAGGTGATCTTGGGAGCTATGAAGACTCTGCAGGGGTTGGCACTGGCCCAGACCATGCTGTTTGGAAGAGAGGGTGGCTAAATGGCAGTCACACTGGGGGAGGAGGTGACTCTAGCTGAAATTTGAGTCCTTGGGATGGTGTCTCTGGATGGTGTCTGCTTTGTCCAGGGTGAGTCATAGGCTATTGTCAGGCCTCTTCTTGACCCTGCCACTTGTGGGACCTCCTCTAGCAAGGTACAGGGGTCAGTATCTAGGTCAAGGTTATGCTTTGGGGTACCTATCCTGGGGTAGAGATGGCCAAGTGTCTGTAAAGGTGGCAGACATTGCCTGGCCCTTTTTCCTAGTGTGCAAAGGAGGGCTTTGGCTTTATGTATTTTTTTCCCTTTCCTTTTATTTTCTTTATACCCGACTACCAGAACTAGAACCTGACACATTCTCCCTCTCTCACACACTAGGGAGAAATAAGGTCAGATTCTGACTGCTTGGCTCTGCTGCAACCCAACCATCGACATCACTAACTCCCATCTTGGTCCCAGCTGGGAACAGGGGCTGCATGGCCTAGAGAGTGGCATAGTCCCCCTCCCCCTTACTGCTGTTCAGGGAAGGGGGAGGGGAGAACAGCTTCTGTGAGATAACCCAGAGGCCCCACCAGTGCCTCCCCCCCACCCAGTTGCTTCCTTCCCCTCACCTTGGCCAGAGGCAGGACAATGAAGGCACCTCCACCTCCAGCCTCCACAATAATGGCCAGAAATTTGGGGTTGACCGCACAGAAGGCACTGTCCCATGTGACCTTGGACACCCGGATGTCCTCGTAGGCCTGGTCGGCCTTTGCTGCCTGACCAAACACATGGCGGAACTTGCTTTGCCGAACCACTCGCCGGCTCATGGCTGGGGCAAATATAGGGGTATCAGAGCCTAGAGGCACCTTGGTCCTTAATCCGGTGAACTGTGGGAGGGAGGAGTAAGTGAGTAGAATTATCTGGTGAGGACCAGGGAGTTTCCTTCAAAGTGACCAAAGTAGGAGGCAGATCTTTGTCACCTGTCAAATGTTTAACTTGAGGGGCTAGGATGGGGAATCGGACCTCTTAGACACACAGGCTAGGGGGTTAATGGAGGCTGAAGTAGCGTTGAAACTTCCTGGGAGACGGACTGTTTTGAGGAGCAATATCAGTGAGTCCCCTCTGGCTGCTGGCCATGGATGAGCAAGTCTTTGTCCCTCCTAGAGACACCCTATTCAACGCACTCTCTTTTAGTCACTGGACCTTAGTTCCAGGTTAGTTGTGGCGCTAGGACTCCAGCCATCAAGATGGCAAACTCTCATCTCTGGCACAGCTCAGGCTCATGGGTCTTTTCCTACAAATTTGCCGCTAAATTGCCAAGAGAAAACGTTTCTCCTGTTAGCCTGTTAGTAGCCTGTCTCCTTCATCGGCTTCCTCCCGTGGTGGGGGGTGAGTGGGAGTGGGCAGTAGAAGGTGGCGCTCCCTTCCGTGTCCATTCCACCATGCACTGGCTTCTCCGAGAAGCCCGACTATGGCCATCTGACACCAATATCAGACTTTAGTCCGGCGTCTTTGGGTGCGTTGCCCTGTGCCTGTGCTGGGGCTTCTAGTAGGTTCTCCTGAGAGTGGGGGCTGTCGACCCCATCGGCAAGGACCAGATGTGCACCAGTCAGGAGGTAAGGTCCCTTTTCTGGAGCTAGGACCTCGGCTACGCTGCTTTGCCCAAGGGGACACGCCAGGCTCTCTGCAAAGGCCAACTGCCTCCTGCCCCTCCCCAGCCGGGGCATCCCTGTGTCCTTCAAACCTCTCCTGCGGCCCCAGGCCTGAAGCCCGGCCTACCCGCACCCTCCCCGAGCCTCCTGCCCGGCCAGTGCGTTCTTGTGAGACTAGGTGTCTCCTC